CGATGCGAAGACGTTGCGAGCTAATTATAGAAAGTGAGGGAGAGCGTATTTCGTATTAAACTTTTTTTTTAAAAAATACATTAAATAAACTTCATATAAATAAAATTTTACGTGATTCCATGTGACTGTTTCTGCACAATAAAAAAAAACAAATTCCAGTTTTTTTTGGACCAGACTGTATGTTACCAAATCTCTTGGTATAAACTATATATGTGTTCATATTTAATTTAGAAATTTTTTAAAAACCGTATTATATTTGTATTACTAAGTAACAATTAGTAAGTAATTAAGAATCATATTTAATTTAAAATCATATTGTTGATCAAATTTTTTTTATAGTAATAAGGAAGCATGTATAGTTACAACTTTGATATTTTTTTGACTTTGTATTAATATTTGAATTTATTTAATTTATTAAATATAATTTAACTAATATAAAGTTTTATTGATATTTAGAATAGTATTTAATTTGATATATAATTGATTAATAATTTTATAAGATAAATACTAGTATTTTTTTTCTTAATTTTTTTTTTTTAAATAAAAGTAAATAAACATTATTATTTTTTATATTATAAAAAATTAAAAATTTTTATATAAAAATAATAATAATATTTCTTATATGATCAATTAATTAATGAGTTTAATACTAGCTTGTCTATAAAAAATTATTTAAATGATAAAGAAAATAAATATTAAAATTAATATATATCAAAAATAGTATTAAGCAATTATAAATATATACTCAAAATTATATATAGCAAGATTTAAGAAAAAAAAATATTAAACAAAAAGAAGGTAACAAAAAAATTAATTATAATACAAAGAATGTCTAATAGGTATATTGTTTTAATAATTCTATTTTCTTAAAATATAATGATATTTTTTAAATGGCCAAGCTATAATTTAAAACAATTTTACTTATATATTTGAAATTATTATCTTATTGAAAGTATCAATTGTTTTCAAGTAGTCTATTAATTTTTTTTTATAATTTTACAAAATATTAATATAAATTTTATATTTATAATTTCTTTAAAACAAAAAAGAAAAGTTTTTTTATATATATAATTTTTTTATATAAAGATTTTAGTATCATTTTTAGATATTCTTTTAACTAATCTTATATCTTATACTATTAAGTAATTGTATTTTTAAATAATTAAAATATTGATTCATCTAAAAATAATATTTATTTATAATTATTTTCAAAATATTTTTTTGTTTAAATAATATAAACTTTATGATATTACTAATATCTTTTTCTTATCAAATTCAAAAATTGGATTCAACTATCTATCAAAGTCTTAATTCAATTATATAACATCATATAAAATTATAATATGCTATAACCAATATCTTTTTACTAAATAATATAAAATAAAAATAAAAATTCTATATTATTTTAATTAAGAATAATCAAACAACACTCAAATTAAACTAAAAAAAAAACATACTTCTATAATACAATAGTCACAAAAACTTATATTTAAAACAATTTCAACTTTTTCAATTGTATTATCAAATTAATTCAAAGTTATATTAACTTTCTCTTCTTTAACACTGAGTAGATACTTATAACCACTTGGTACTTTTTAATAAAACATATTGTTTTAAAATTTCTTTTCAATATTAATTATCTGGTTTCTATAGACAAGCTAATATTAAGCTTATTGTATCCACACACGAGAGATGTTGTTTCTTTTATAATGTATACTTTTGATATACAAATCAATTGTTTACCTAAAAAAAAAAAATAATAATAATTATATTATTTAAAATTTATTTAAATTAAATAAAATTTATAATATATCAATTTTATTATAAAAAGCATATCTATTTAATAGTTATAATTGGTTTTATAATAATTTTAAATAAATTTGATTAATAAATAATATTAATAAAACTGGTTTGTTTTTTATTTAACCATTATATATTAAATGTAAGTTTTTTAAAAAATACATTTCGATTTTAACAATTAAATTAATATGTAATAAGCTTTCGATTTATCATTACTTTAAAAAAAATAGTATTATTATTTTTTATTAAACCGTTATAAGCTTGCATAAATTTTCGTACTACGGATTCTGCTTTTCTTAGCCTTTTGTTTTGTGTCATCTCGGCATTTACATCATGGTACAGAAAACAATTCTATCTATTATTGCTTTCTGCTCACAGGTGTCGCCACCTCTAAATGACAATCCGATTGATAGGAGTTCGGAGTATGATACTGCGCAGTTGAATTCCGTAGTTAGTATTACGTTGTACTTACAGCGGCAAAAGTTGATTATACGTATGTAACACAGGCGGAAATCGAAAAAAAATGTATATAAATGCAGTTAGACGAAATTCATGAATCCTCATTTTTCCATTGTTTAATTTTATATATTTCTTGGACACTTTATTGAATGAATCAAAATGAGTACGCCGAAAGAAAAAATAAGAATGAATCAAAATTATTTCTTGCCAAGCTATCTAAGAGGCAGTCCGTTTGAAGAATATAACGAAAAGAACTATTTACCACTTCTCTTGCCCACTCATTGGAATTCTGCTGATGGTGACGATTATATAACTATCGTTGATGAATCTAAATTATCTCTTAAATATTCCGGTAATGTTCTTTTGAGATATAAAGTTCATATTGATTCACAAGGTTTTATTTCTATTCAAATTAATGACCTAAACAAATTAATAGGGCCCGGAAGGTTAGTTCACATACATCCCTAGTTTTTATAAACAAGGATTAATATTATACGTATATTAATACTTTAAATCTAGGAATTGGGTTGATGCAGCTAGTATAAGATCAAATAACCGCATTTCTCCTGAAGTTGGTTTATACTATTTCGAGATAACCGTTATTGATAGAGGTCACAGAGGGTAATGATATTAATCATTTAAGCCTAATTCATTCGCTTAGATTTGATTCATCTTTTATATTTTTTTAGATGTATTGGAATTGGGCTAAGTAAACCCGGAACACGCTTAAATAGAATGCCAGGTATGGACTTTTTTCTATATCCTAAGACAAGTACGCATGAAGACATCAGTATATCCTTCATCATTGATGATATGCATAAAATTTACACAGGATGGGAGCCAGACACGATAGGATATCACGGTGATGATGGCCATTTATACCATGAGCTTGGAACAGGAAGAAAATTTGGCCCTCTATATACAACTGGAGAAACCGTTGGTTGTGGTATAAATTATTATGACAAAGAAATATTTTTTACGAAAAATGGAATTATCCTTGGCGGTAATCATAGAAATTTTAATATTTGACCTAATTACTCATCGTTAGACTCCATAAATAGTTAATTCAATTACAATTATGATTAAATAGTTGTGGCAAACAAAGATAATTTCAATGGTGTAATGATTCCTACATGTGGTATGGAAAGTCCAAATGAAAGTGCCATGGTGAATTTTGGTGCACGACCTTTCGTATTTAATATTGAGGTATATGCAAAGGTACATGGTTTTTTTTTTTATCTTTTAACGCTAGAATAACCAAACCTATTATTAATCCAAATCACAATTTTCAACTGAAGACAATATTTGCAAATGCTAAACAAAAAGAGAAGAAAAAAGCAGAGGCAGCTGCAGAAATAGCTGAGAACAATGGCGACGTGACGCAAGTGTCCGTGGAAACTGCCGAGGAAGGATCGGTTGATGCAGCAGCAGATACAATGACAGATGGAAATGTTGTTCAAAGATCTGATACTGTGACGCCTCCTGAGGCAAATAATGTTCCAGACGCAATTACAATTTTGACGTCTGATAATGCAGTAAATATAGTTGCAGCTCCAGTTACTAATAATATAACAGACATAAATACTATTCAACAAGTCGAAATATCAACGGCGGATGGTATAACGAATAATGTGACAGGTGAAAATGCAATTAATGAAATGATCACAGCACTAACAGACATTAGTTTCATAACGCCTGACACAAGAGATGCAACTGAGTTAATACCAGCCGTGAGTAATAGTTCAACCACCACAATAGAACCTTTCGAAAGTCCGGCTCTTGAACCCGATCCTATTCCCCCGCTTGTAAATGAAACAATCATTTCGGGTAATACCATAGAAGGACAATCAAATGAAACTTTCACAGGTGCAACTGGTGTTATACCAAACGTCGTTGATATTACTGTGTCAAATTCTGTTGACCTAATAGAAGTGCTACCACCTGACGTCGTTACAGTTGCTGAGGATAGCGGTATTACGCAAAATACCATAGATGTGTCTTTAGTTTCTTGATCATTTGTTCAAGGTCACATTTTACATTTCTTATTTGTCAAAAATACGGAAATCACGCTATCACCAAAGAATTCTGTCCAACTTTTGATACGTCTATTTATTGATATTTTATGAATTTCACGTTATTTCATGTTAAAGTACTTTTATATTCCTTATATTACTATATATGAATAAAAGAATTATCTGCCTACCGGACGGATTGTAGCATATCAATAGTAAGTAATACAAATACTTAAATTTTTTATGTTGCACACGACTATTATCATAAAATGTTACATAAACCAAATTTGTTGGTTTCAGTTTAGGGTCCTATAAATGTATGGAAACATAATCACATATTTAATTAATTGATTTTTTAATTTATATAATTGTTTATAATATTATATTGTGTATAGTAAAATAATTTCATATAAATAAAAACATTTTTTAAAGAAACAATAGAATATCAAAAATTAGGATCCAGCCCTCAAATACTCAGGACAATAAGGGGGAAAAAAAGAAGGGAAAACCAACATCTAAGACAGAGGATTATATAGCTAAGATAAATAAGATCAGAGAAATAATACAGGAGTTCATAAAAAGTGGATCAAAATGGTTTCCATTAAAATAAAACTCAATCTGAATTTATGGTATATGATCTGTAGAGATGATCTGCAGGCGTTGACTTCATTAAACAAATGGAATCTTAATTCTAATTAATGGATAAGCAACATATCATTTCCATAAATTGTATCTAGAAACTCTATGTCATAGATGGGTGAGCTGGGTTGAGGAAATTTATACATACAATTTTTATTTGTAATGATTCATTTTGATTTAATAAATAAATAACACCAATCTGATTGAGAGTAAAAAAAAAAAATAGAATATCAAAAAACTTATTTTAATAAAGATTTAAAAGATTATTATTTATAATATTATAAAAATGTTTTTAATCAAATGTAATTAAATTTACAATTAAAAAATTAAATTAAATTATAACAAATACAATTAAATTAATATATGAAAAAATAATTGTATTTATAGAAAATATAATAAAAATATTAGATAAATAAAATATATTAATCTAAATATTATAAATTATTTGAATTGAAATCATATTGTACTATACAGTCAAACCTCTTTATACCGATATTTTTTATACCGATACCTATTAAAATCTCACTATACCGATATTTTTCTCAAAACCATTCTTAATTAAAGTCATTTTTTTATACCGATATATTTTCTTTATACCGATATTCTAAAAAAAAAAAACCACCTTTAATTAAATTGATTTTATATACTGATATTTATAATAAAATTTTATATACCGATATTTTTTGCTAAAAATACCAATCATATCGGTATAAAAAGGTTTGACTATAGTTAACATCTTATTATTTATCAGAATCAAATAAAGTTTTACAAATAATCCAATATGGCCAATTTATTTAAAACAAAAAAAAGTGATACTTTATTCACTGAAACCTTATTTATTAATATTTTTCAAAAAGAAATTTTTATTAATTTATTTTTTATAGTTATTAATTTATTTATTTATATAAATATAATAATTTTAAATATATTTATAATCTAATATTAATATTATTTAATTTAATTTTTTTAATAATAAATAGATATTTATAACTATTTAATACTGTTCAACTGATATATTGTTTTTAAAATTTATTTTTAATATTAATTATATAGTTATTATAAGCAAACTAGTATTTAACTTATTGTATAAATATATAAGAAATATTGTTTTTTTAATAATATATATCATAATATATAAATTAAATAAAAAAATATTATTTTTTTATAAAAATAAATAAATAAAACATATTAAATACTATATTTTTTTTTAAACAAATGGCTTATACCTTGTTTATTAGGTATTTATTGATAAGTATATACAAATTTATTTTATATATATTAAATACTATATATTAAATATAAAAATTATAAAAATATATTAAATATGATCTGTGAATCCATAGTGTAGTAGTTAACACTTCACAGGTCAAATCACAAGATACTAGTTCAACCTATATAAGGGCAATTAAATAGAAATAATATAGTATATAGTATCAAACTTGTAAAAAGTACTATTTCTTATAAAAAGCTATTTCATGTACTAATTCAATAGGTATTAAGATTGTGATTTCTAGAAAAGATATTGTAATGTAATGATCGTCTAGTTGGTGTTAAGATAATTATCAAAAGTTGCAAGGTATATAAGGTGTTCACTTTCGACAAGTAGGTTTAATAATTACTTTTTTAATATCTAATAGCTTTCATGCAAATCCCTGTTCTAATTTTATTTTGATCCAATAATAAACCAGTTTGATGATACTTATTCCAAGAAGATATTTAGCAATAAGACCTGTTTTTTGCAAAGTTATATAAGTCAATGTTCAAGCAATAAGCACTAGTTATAAGTATCTTAAACATTTTTAAATATTATTTGAATAAATAAGAAATTAAATGGTTGACCTAATTGCAAGTAATGGTAAAAGGATTTATTTCTAATAAAGCAAGTAAAAATAGGGCTTTTAATGATACCACTTCAATATTACTTCGATACCAGTTCGATACTTAAATTTACTATAAAATCATATAAGTAGATTACAATCCATATATTAAATTTATTATAGATCAGTACTATTTCGATATCAGTTTGATACCAGTTTGATACTTTTTGAAGTCCTAAGTAGAGATTATATAACTTTATTTGCTATAAAATATTACCCTTAGTGCCCTCTTCAAAACTTCTCCTTAATCCTTTTCATTAGAAATAAAACCTAATTGGTTATCAGTAAATATGTATACTATTAACTAAACAAAAAGATTTCTTTATTTAATAGATTGGTCTTTATACCTAATATAAATTAGAAACAAGCTATAACAAATATTATTATTTGAAGTAATTCTAATAAGAGTTGAATGTTACAATAATACAGTAAAAAAAAAAAAGTATAAGTATAAACAAAAAAAAATATTATTATTTTTTTTTTCTTTTTGCAAGGCACTTCTTAAATTATGATTTTTATTAATTGTTAATTTAATTTTTATAAAGATAACCAAGTATAAAATTTACAACAATAGTGATACATTGAGATATATTGCTATAAACATTGACCTGCTAATAAGTAAATATATTCTATAAAAACCATAATTGGAGAAATTTTAGAAGTAACTATTTACTAAATTAGAGAGTCAACACCTCCCTAATAATTTAGTTTTTCATCCAGATTTGATGAAAATAAGTTTTCAGTTAGTGAGATACAGTTAAGAAAAATATTTGAAAACAGGATATTAGAGTGGGGGTATGGTTATTGTTAGTGCAGTTTACTGGTGTTGTATTAGTGATTATGTTTTTTTATTGAGTCAAGTTTGATTGTTTTTGTTTTTGATGTTGTTTTTGTTTCTTTTTTGTTGTGTTGTAATACCAAGAATTTTTTTCTGAGAAATCATATTGTCATTTATGGGTTTCCATATGTTGTTGTATATTAGTTCAAGAAGTTTGTTAGATATTTGTATATGTTTAAAAATTGGAATAGATTTTTGATTTGGAATTAGAACTGAGAAGGAGATTGAACCAGTAGCAATTTGTATTATATTTTAAATATTGTTGAAGTATTGTAGGTTATGTTCAGAAAAGTTATTAATTATTTCATTTATAATTTGTTGTGTTGAGAAAATAATTGTTTTTAATATGTTGTTATTAATAAGAAAGTTTCAAATATAATTAATAATTTCGTCTAAGCTGTTACAACATAGGCAAAGATTATTTAGATAAAGGTTGGATTTGGTAATGTGGAGGTGAGATTTAGTAAGAAGACTATAAAAGATAATTTTAAAATGAAAATTATAAATAGCAGATTCTGAGTTGTTGGTAGATATTAATACTAATTTAATAAATTTAAGAATATAAGAGAGATTTTGAAAATTGGATTGAAAGGTTATTTGAAATCTTTTTGAGTTTAGAATATTAAAAGTTTTAAAAAGATGATTGATTTTTTTGATATGTTTCCAGATAGGAGGGAGTGGTGTGCCAAAATGATTAGTTGCAGTGTATAAAAAAGGTTGAGAATTAAAGTATAGATTTATTAAAGTGATTATTGAATTGTGAGATGGAGGTGCATTGTGTGAAGATTTGTAAAAGGAGCAGTGTGTTTGCAAAAATTGAATATTTTGTTTTAAATTGTCAATTATATAATTATATGGTGTTTTGCAAGTTGTTCTATGATTTTTTGAATTGGAAGAAAATATAATTCACATCTTTTATTAATATTATATTAATGAGTACTTATACATATATGTTTTATAATACATCATTGTTCTATATATTGCTAGCTATAAGATGCAAAACTTTTTCTGCTGATTCCTTTGCCAACACAAAAAACAGACATTTCAAGGAAATTTTTATATTTCTTTATAATAAAGTCTATATACTTTCATTAACAACACTTATACTAAGAGATCATAGTCTTTTCCACTTGTTCTTTTCTTTCTTTGACATAAACTTCTTGTATTTTTGTGAGTAAATATAAGAAATACCTACATATAAAGTTAAAGGCAAGAAAATTTTGTTAGGAAAAAGAACCTGTAGAAAAAACACACTCCTCTCTTCCTTCAGAGATTCAAGACTCTAGAAAAAACTGTCACAGTTTTTGGAACTTTTCTCTTATCCTTCTTAAGTTTTCTCCTATCTTTTCAAGCATGTAAACTTTTTCTTGGTTTTTCTGAGAAATTTTGCCTATCTTAGTTTGATCCTGAATTTTTTATTACACCAGAATCCTTGAATAGTGATTGGCTCGAATTTAGGACTGGTTGATTTATATGTAGCAAGAAATATAAACAAGACATGTAACTTCCACATGCCCTATCTTGTACAACACAAAACCCAATGATGCAATTGAATATAGTGAAAAGAGCAAGGTGATGAGATGCTCTTTTTGTTAAAAAGTGTTATAGTGTTCCCCTCTCCTCTTGAACTGGTTTTTTTTTTCTTC